TGCGGGCGTAGGCGAAGGCGTTGAAAGTGGCGCCGGCGTCGGTGTCGGCGTAGGCGGGGGTATTGGTGTTGGCGTAGGGGCTGCCGTCGGCGCTGTTGTCTGCACCGGCGTTGATGCCTGCGAGGGCGCAGGCCTTGATGCTGGCATCGGTGCTTGCGTCGGCCCTGGCGAAAGCGCCAGCGTTTGTGCTGATGCTGGCGCGTACCGGTCAGCTGGTCAGCTCACTGGCGCCCTGGCGTTGTTAGGCGCATGCGGTGATGCTGGCGTAGGAGTTGACGTCGGCGCTGGTGAAGGAGCTGGCGTTGGTGCTGGCGTAAGCGCAGGCGATGATGCCGGCGTCAGTGCTGTCGTCAGCGCTGGCGAAGGTGCCGACGTTGGTGTGCTGGCGCCGGTGAGGCAGTGGAGATGGGGGTGGGAAGACAGAAGGAAGTGGGCATTAGGAGGGGCAGTGGAATCAGTCGGTCGCCCTTGTCTTGGTCAACCTTGTCCTCGCGGCCATGCTTGATTAATGAATCCTCTGGTGTGTTGTCGTCAGATGGCCGGCGTTGGTGTAGTCAGTGCTGACGTCGGCGCTGGTGTAGGTGCTGGCGTTGGTGCAAGCGTCGTAGGTCCTTGGGGCTTGGTCGGACAGCCGGCGTTAGTGCTGGCGTCAGCGTTCGCTGTTGCCAGATGCGCCGGCGTTCGTGCTGCTGGCGTCAGTGTTGACGTCGGCGCTGGCGTTGCCGTCGAAGTAGACGTAGGCGGTGATGTTGACGTCGGCGTTGGAGTCGGGTCAGGCGTAGGCGCTGGCGTTTGAGCAAGCGTCGGTGCTGGCGTCTGTGCTGGTGCAGGCGACGGCACTGGTGCCAGCGTAGGCGCAGGCGTTGGTGCTGGCGTCGGTGCTGGCGTCCGCGCCGGTGTAGGCGCTGGCGATAATGCCGGCAAAAGCGCAGGCGGGGATGCAGGCGTCGGTGTTGGCGTCGGCGCTAGCGTAGGCGCCCACGTTGGCGCTAGCGTCGTTGCTGGCGTCGGTGCTGGTGTAGGCGCTGGTATTGATGTCGGGTTAGGCGTCGGCGTTGGTGCTGGCGTCGGTGCTGGTAGTCGCTGGCGCTTGTGAAGGCATAGGCACAAGCGTGGGTGCTGGTGTCGGTGCTGGCGTCTGCGCTGGCGGTGGTGCTGGCGTCGGAGCTGGACGTCGGAGCTGGGGAGTCGGAGCTGGGGATGCAAGTGATGGGTGGCGCACCCGTTATCCCACGGGGTGGGATAAGACGCCGGGACCAGGTTTATTCGACCGCGGGTCGAATGCAGGTGAAGGCGCTGGCATTGGTGTCGGGTTAGGCGTCGGCGTTGGTGCTGGCGTCGGTGCAGGTATAGGCGTTGGCGTCGTTGAAGGCATAGGCACAAGCGTGGGTGCTGGTGTCGGTGCAGGCGTCTGCGCAGGCGTAGGCGCTGGTGGTGGCGCTGGCGTCGTAGCTGGACGTCGGAGCTGGGGAGTCGGAGCTGGGGATGGAAGTGATGGGTGGCGCACACGTTAACCCATGGGGTGGGATAAGACGATGGGAGCAGGGTGTATTCGACCGCGGGTTGAATGCAGGTGAAGGCGCTGGCATTGGTGTCGAGTTAGGCATCGGCGTTGGTGCTGGTGACGGGGCTGGCGTCGGTGCAGGTATAGGCGTTGGCGTCGTTGAAGGCATAGGCACAAGCGTGGGTGCTGGTGTCGGTGCAGGCGTCTGCGCAGGCGTAGGCGCTGGTGGTGGCGCTGGCGTCGTAGCTGGACGTCGGAGCTGGGGAGTCGGAGCTGGGGATGGAAGTGATGGGTGGCGCACACGTTAACCCATGGGGTGGGATAAGACGATGGGAGCAGGGTGTATTCGACCGCGGGTTGAATGCAGGTGAAGGCGCTGGCATTGGTGTCGAGTTAGGCATCGGCGTTGGTGCTGGTGACGGGGCTGGCGTCGGTGCAGGTATAGGCGTTGGCGTCGTTGAAGGCATAGGCACAAGCGTGGGTGCTGGTGTCGGTGCAGGCGTCTGCGCAGGCGTAGGCGCCGCCGGTGGTGCTGGCGTCGGAGCTGGGGAGTCGGAGCTGGGGATAGAAGTGATGGGTGGCGCACTCGTTATCCCATGGGGTGGGATAAGACGCCGGGAACAGGGTGCACTCGACCGCGCCCTCCTGCTCTCACCTATCCCGCTGTCACCCATCCTGATCTCACCGCCTGCCTCGTCCGTTTCCTTTTCCTTCTCTTCATGCGTACCTTGCGAGCCTCGTTGGCCCTCCTCATCATATCCTTTACCTCTCTCCTCCGCACCCTACCCCTTCCCTCGCCCTCCTCCATCCCCTCATGCCTCCCTCTCAGCACTGGGCCCCCATTCCTCGTCGTCCTCCCTTCCCTGCTCCACCTGCAGCTCCATCATCACCCTTTTCCTGCTCCACCTGCTTTCTGCTGTCCTAAATCGTTCCTTCGTTTCCTCCTCCTTGTGCCTCCTTCCTCCTCTGTTCTTCTTTACATGTGTTGTACAACTTCCTCTCTCTCTCTCTGGGTCTCTCTCTCTCTCCCTCGCTCTGTCTCTTTCTCTCTCTCTCTCTCGGTTTGTCACTCTCTCTCTCGCTCTCTCTCTCTCTCTATCCATCTCTCTCTCTCTCTCTATCTCTCTCTCTCTCTCTCTCTCTCCTCATGTATTTCATCTCTCACCCTCCTTCTTGCTCGTTCACCATTCACCCTCTACCTCCTCACACAACATGTGTATCGCCCCATCTCCTCCTTGCAGGTCCTCCTTCCGCTCCTCCTCCTCCTCCTCCTCCTCCTCATTCTACTCATCTTGTTCCTTCTCCTCCTCATCCTAATACCCTCTTTCATTTCTGTTTGCTTTGTGCGAGCAGGGAGCCCGACGCATTGCGTTTCGAGCTCCTCCTCCTCCTCATGTTCCTTCCGCCTCTTGCCTTTCCGTCTTCTACCGCCTTCTGCTTCCGCCCCCCCGAGCGCGGAGGGGGGGGGAAGGGGAGCGAGGGGGAGAAGGGGAAGAGGGAGGAGGAGGAGGAGGAGGAGGAGGAGGAGGAGGAAGAGGAGGAGGAGGAAGGGAGGAAGTGGAGGGCGAGGATAACAAGGAGGATCAGGAGCGGGATTGACAGGACTGAGAGGAGGCTGAGGTCCCTGCACTTCTTCCCGAATCCCTGCGACCCCTTTGAGTGTGGACGGCAAGGGGGGGATGAGCATGGCGGGATGGCAAAAGCAGGTCGGCGAACCAGCCACCCGCAGCTACTTTTCCTGGCGCCTGCCCAGCGTCAAGGAACGACCTTGTGCTGAGGATGCTGCCCAGGTGAGGGGCCAACACCATCTGCATGCATCAGTTTTCGTCCCCTCCCCTTGTCCACCCCGCCCCCACTGGGACGAGCATCCGACCAGCCATAACTGGGGGAGCTGTGGTCCTTACCCCCCTGGGGGAACCCTTCGCGTCGACGATCTCTCGAGATGGGTGTCGAAATCGATGGGTCCCCCAGGGGGGTACAGGACCACAGCTCCCCCAGTTGTGGCTGGTCTGAGCATGGTGTCATAACGCGATTGGCTCGGACGACGGTCGGGAACCTTTGCGCAGCGTGCCGCCCCGGCGGCCCCGGCGACACGCTACAGTCAAAACGTATATTAAGGACGGGTGATAATCGGGGATGGACAGACCTCCCTTTAGTAAAACGTGGTTTAGTGAAATCGACCTGAGGCCCAAACCTGGCAGGCGCAAGCCTGGGAAATAACGGCCACGGCGCCCTCTCGAGAACCGAAAACGGACAATTCACTAATCGACGCGTCACTGTTGGGGGTTCTGTCCACCCCCGAGATAAGGACGCACGACCCTTGGAGGCCGAAGTTGGGCTTTGTAGGGCGGCGGGCGACCAGGGATCATGGCAAGGACGAGCCTCGGAGGCAAGGACACAAGGGCACCCTAGATGAAGGCGCGCGTCCTTACTACACCCTGCGAAATGCTTAAGAAATCATGGGTTGAGAAATTCATAATCTCAGAATTTGAATTAAAACCCAGAACTTCTATTAAAATTATAGGATTCACATTGAAACATTAAGAATAACCGAGACTCTGGCCGAAAACTTAAGTTTTCTTAAGCATCGCCTAAGGTGTAGGCGCGTTGACTGTATATGCCCTGCGCGCGGGTGGCGCGTCTCTCTCCGCACCCGCGGGCGGCGGGCCGCGCGGGAGGGCTCGGCACGCGGACGCCCCGGGGGCCGGGCAGTGGGCCGCGTGCCGCGCGGAGGCGCGGTGGACCCGAACTGGCGGAGCGACACGCTGTCCAAAAGCTCCCGACCGTACAGGGCAGTTTTTTTATACATGGGACGTTTTTTTTCGTTTTTTTATATCGGGTTTTGAATACATGATTCATTCATGAATAAAGTTATGCATGAACTCATCGTTGTTTGTAGTACTAAATCCCTGCATGCTTAATACATGATCCGCACGCGGAGCATGTTTATATATATATATATATATATAAAAAAAAAAAACGGCACCGTACGTTCCAGGAGTTTTGCAGCCCGTGCGACGTGCAAAGAGCTCTGGGAGACCGTGGCCATCTTGGAACGCCTCGTTTGGCGAACGAGCAACACACATTCATACCCACACGTAATGGGGGCGGGGAGGGCTATGGGTGCGTGTTGTCGGATGGGGGTCCCCGCTCGAACGGGAGCCTCCCTTGGGATCCGACAGCCCGCACCCATGCCCATAGCCAGCCCTGCTCCCTCTGTTTAGAAAAATCGGCGCGATGGGAAGGGATGGGAGGGGCGAGTAGCATGTCAGATTCGGCGCGAGCGCGCCCAGCTTGCCCTCCCCCCATCACTCTTCCCCTCCTCGTCCTCCCTCCCCCCTCCTCGTCCTCCCCCCCCCCTCCTCCTCCTCCCTCCTCGCCCTCCCTCCTCCTATCCCTTCCCCTCCCCACTCCTCGTCCCCCTTATGGGTATGTGTGTGTTGTTCGCTCGCCATCATGATTCGTTGCCTCTTGCTCCTCCGACCCGCGGCCGCGCCCGAACTCGATCTGGGTGTCCCAGTCCGCCACGTGCGCGTCGACGGAGCCCAGCACCGCGTCCGCTGTCCTTGGCTCGCGCGGGCTCCGTCTCCCCCCCCCCCGCGGGCGTCGTCCCGCCAAGGATGGGGGCAGGGGGGATCGGGGGGTCTCGGCAGAGAAGGAGGAGAGGGAGAAGGAGGAGGGAAGAAGGGTGGGTCAAGCCAGGCGCGCTCCCGCCGTCTCTGACAGCCTGCCCCTCCCACCCATCCCTTCCAATTGCGTTTTGTTGGTTTCTCTGTGCGCCGGCGCGTGTCATAGCGGGCCTGGGCCGCCCCCCCCTAACGGACCCCGTCGGGCTAGGCGCAGTCGGAAAAAAGGGAAGTTGCGTGCATCGGGGGAGAAAAGGGGTGGACGAGCAGGAGGTGGAGCAGGAGGGCGAGGAGAGCGAGGAAGGAGGAGGAGGAGGAGGAGGAGGAGGAGGAGGAGGAGGAGGAGGAGGAGGAGAGGAGGAGGAGGAGGAGGAGGAGGAGGAGAGGAGGGAGGGAGGGATGGAGGGTGAGGAAGGACCGCAGCGGCAGGAACTGGGGGCGGGGGGGCCAGGGGAGGGCGGCTCGGTGGCGGGAGCGGGGCGGCAGCGACGAGGAAGCGCTCGGATCCAGGAGAGGTGGCCCGCGCGGGGGCGCAAGCGCCATTCTGGGGAGGAGGAGGAGGAGGAGGAGGAGGAGGAGGAGGAGGAGGAGGAGGAGGAGGAGGAGGAGGAGGAGGAGGAGGGGGCGCAAGCGCCACTCCGGCCATCGCTCGGACGTCCACTCCCTGTGTTTTTTTTCGGTTTCGTGCGCGGTTGTTTCGCCAAGTGATCAAGGATGCTCCTCGATGGTCCTCGCCGGAGGAACAATACACACGTCCGAGCGACGCGAAGCATTCGGAACGACGGGAGCAGGGCGCCGATCGTAAAGTGGGGCAGGCGCTGCAAAGGGAGCACCATGTCGAGGGAGCGAGGGACGCTCACAGGAGGCCAGCGCTGCAGCGGGGGCGCCACTTCTCGAGGGACCGAGGACGCTCGGATTGAAAGAACACATGGGGCAACCGACTCGCACCATTCCTGCGTAGAAAACAAGACGCAGAGGGGGGTGCGCGCGCGACTTTCTGGACGTCTTCGGGAGAGGGAAAGAAAGAGAGAGAGAGAGAGAGAAAAGAGAAGAGAAGAGAGAGACAAGAGAGAGTACTCTCCATACTGCGTAATTGTGGATGGGGAGGATGAAGAAGAGGCAGGGGATGGGGACGCGGAGGGGGGGGGGGGGAAGGGCAGGATGGTGGAAGGGGAGGAGAGGAAGAGTGAATAGTGGGAGTAAGAGGACGAAGGAGGAGGAAGAGGAGGGGTAGAAGGAGGTGGAGGAGTGGGAGGGAGGTGATAGGAGGGGGAGGAAAGGGAGAGTGGTTGTGGGATGATGATGATGATGATGAGGAGGAGGAGGAGGAGGAGGACGCAGAGGAGGCGGAGGAGAAGGAGGAGGAGGAGAACACGGAGAGGGGAGGAAAATGGGGGGGGGAGAGAGAGAGATGGGAGGAGCAAGAGGCGGCGTGTGTATGTGTGTGTGGTGTGTGTGTTATGTGTGTGTTGTGTGTGTGTGTGTGTGCGCGTGTCTGTGTGTGTGTCTACGTGTGCGTGTGCGTGTGCGTGCGCGTGCGCGTGCGTGCACGTGTGCGCGAGTGTGTGTACGTGTGTACGTGTGTACGTGTGTACGTGTGTACGTGTGTACGTGTGTACGTGTGTACGTGTGCGCGTGTGCGCGTGTGTGTGTGTGTGTGTGTGTGT